CTCTAAGATGAATAATAATTTGTATTCTGACTACCTCACAGGACTAGCACACGACCCAAATAAGATAATGTGTGTATGAAAGCTCTTTGCTAGTAGGAAAGCACGATATGGGTGTAAGGTGTTATTATCCCTTTAATCTTCCTGGTCTCATAATAGAGAAAAATTTTCAAAGACAAATTGGGAGCTCATTTCAGTCTCTCAGCTGCCTCTTGTGACATGACAGTCATGACAATTAAATGCTGCAGAAGGGTCTGGCTGGGTCCAAATAAACAGCATGTGACATGCATTGCCAACCCCCTGGCACTGCTGCTGAAGCTGGCGGGCCGCTGCGGGCTCTGGGACTCCTCCCTGGCTGAGATGCCCCTTTGCATGGAAACACCATGATGCCTTTTGGGGAAGAGCTTTACTCATGCACCCAGGTTTCAGCTCTCACCATTCCACCAAGGGCTATTCTGAGGAGCGGGTTGCTGCTCCTGTGACCGTGGCTTAAAGCCCCCAGAAGTGAATTCAGGGCGCTCTGCCCAGACCTTCCCACCCTTTGGGGATCAAGGGCCCATTCTCTCAGCTGCTAGGAGTCATGGCAGTTGAGGGCTCTCAGGTGAGCCCCAACCTCAGCCTTATAACAGAGCCTCTTTTCCAAGGCCACGTCCCCTCTCGTACCCGGTGACTGGTCAGTGATGGGGAAGGGTGAATAAAGGCCTGGCTCTCTTGTCCTCAAAGTGGGACAATTCTGAAGGGTCATCCTAACCCCATAGCTCCCCAGACTGTCCGCTGAGGTCCCTAAGGCCACTTATTGCCACTCAACTCCTCCCTCTGCCCAGTCCTGTGTGTCCCTTGCCCCTCACAGGTGTTGGTCTTGCAAACATTGCTTCATGATGCTCCTGCAAATCGATCTCTGAGAAACCTACCTCTGTCCCCTCTCCAGCAGCTTCACTGTGAAGGGGTCTGGTCTGCAGCATATGGGCCCCCAGCCCTAGGAGAAGCTACGTGGGTCCCCTGTCACTTCACGCCCCCAGGCAAGTGGCCTTGGCCATAAGCAGCAGTCTTCATTCACCTTAGCTTGTCAGACAAGCATTGTGTTCTCAGTCCCATGTGTAATGTGTAGCACACTCAGAAATAACTCTCTTTTAACCCAGCACAGTTGCCTTTCCAATATTCATTCCCTCTCTTCTTCACTCACTGAACACTGATTTCAATGATTTTTCTCAGCTGAAAAACCAGATGATTTCAAAACTTCCTCTGTGGCCCAGGAAAACCCGTGGGCAGTTCTTGCTCCATGGAGAGAAGCAGAGATGCGCTGGCCCCTGATGGAGGCATCTCCCCACTTGGGTGCTGTTCCCTTTTCTGTCCTCACCAGGCTGGTGACCAAGGGGAGACCCATGTGCTAAATGTATGCATAAAAAATCACCCCAAACTGGGAAGCTTTAAACAAACATATTATTTCCCAGTTTCTGTGTGTCGGGAATTATGGGGAAATGGGGTCACTTTATATATATATATATATACTGTATATATACAGTATATATACTGTATATATATACTGTATATATATACTGTGTGTGTATATATATATATATATATTTTTTTTTATTTTTTTTTTTTTTTTAAGAGAGAGAGGTAGGGAGCAGGAGAGAGAGAAACATCAACGTGAGAGCGGAACACCTATTGGTTGCCTCCTGCAGGCCTCCTACCAGGGGATCCAGCCGGCATCCCTGGTTATGTGCCCTGACCAGGAACCCAACCAGTAACCTATCAGTGTATGGTATGGTGACCAACCAACTGAGCCACACCGGCCAGGGCAGAATGAAGTCACTGTGATGTATTTTCTTGGTCATCCAACCCAAATTCAGTCCCATGTGGGAGGGACTGTACAAGGATGTGAACAGCAGGAGGCAGGGATCATGAGGGGCATCCTGAGGAGTGCCCACCACCATCCTCCCTTGGCCCTGATGACACACATTTATTCCCCAGGAAAAATACACCCGCTCTCTACCCATACCGTCAGAAGTCTCATCTTATTTTGGCATCAACGTGCAGAACCTCGTCACCTGAATCAAGTTCACGTGTGGACGAGGACTGCAGGTGCAGCTCCCAGCAATCCCGCTGATCCGGTTTCACTCAACTCAGGCATTCACTCTAGCCCACATGTGTCAAACACAAGGCCCGCGGGCCAAATCCGTCCCGCCAGGCCTTGCAATGTGGCCCGCACCGTGCTGTCATCACTGCACTCCGCTGCGTTTCCATCACAATGACAGTTTATGACTGTTCAGTAAACCATTCGGCCCATGATTTAGGCTGGATTTTAGATTTTGGCCCCTTCTCTGATTGAGTTCGACACCCCTACTAGCCAGTAGTCGGCAAACTGGGGCTCGTGAGCCGTATGCGGCTCTTTGGTCCCTTGAGTGTGGCCCTTCCACAAAATACCACGTACCCTAATTATACCTACCTATATAGTTTAAGTTTAAAACATTTGGCTCTCCAAAGAAATTTCAGTCATTGTACTGTTGATATTTGGCTCCGTTGACTAATGAGTTTGCTGACTACGGCTCTAGCCCAACAGTTGGCTTCACGACTTATATGTTCACAGGTTGATGCTCAACCACTGAGCCATGCCAGCCGAGCCACTTCTAGGTTTACCCAAGCAGGTAGTTGGGAGATAGCTAACCGAATAGTATTAAATTACTGGGCTGTTCAACTCGCTAAGTCTCTGAGAAGGGAGGGGCAAGGCTCCACCAAGACTTTTAGAGGGTTGGGGGGGAGCGGGCTGGAATTGGGCAACTCTCAGCCCATGTGTGAACTGTCGCCACAGAGAGCCCTAATGTCTGAGGGCCTGAAAAACCCCAGTGAGACCCCCAGCCTGGAGGAGGCTTGGGGGGGGGGGGGGCTTCTGGGAACCACAGGCAAGCCCGCCCTGCCCCACCCAGGCCCAGGCAGGTGCTGGAATCCATGGGGTGCACTCAGGTACGTAGACGTCCAGTGAAAAGGCAATCGCAGGAGTAGCCCGGGCCTGATTAATGCACCACGGCCTTTGAAAAGATTAATGTGTGGACAAGGGGAAACCAATGAATGTAATTTATTTAGACTTTCATAAAGGCTCCACACTAACTGCTATTTTTAAAAGTCACCGTGGAGAATGGGTTTTAAAGGGCCAGTGAGCTTTTTGAGAATAATGCCAACACAGACACATTTTCCTGCTGCCACTGCCATCAAGTAGAGGTGACCGCTCACCGTGACTCTGTGTGGCCATTTCTAAGCAGACCCCTATCTCCTGTCACCCTCCTCCAGAAGTGACATTTTGCTCTTTCCCTTCTGAATTCCCATCTGGTTCCTCTCTTACTGAACAAATCCTACCTTACGTGAAATTACATGTCTCATTCCCAATAGACTGGAACCTCCTCAGGACAGGGAAGAATCTTACCCACTTTCGTGACCTAGATCCATGATTGGCAAACTGTGGCTCGCAAGCCACATGTGGCTCTTTGGCCCCTTGAGTGTGGTTCTTCCACAAAATACTATGTATGGGTGCGCACGTACAGTGTGATTGCAACTTTGTGGCCCATGCACAGAAGTCGGTTTTCGGCCTGGGTGAGTCTGTTTTGAAGAAGTGGCATTAGAACACTCAAGGAGCCAAAGAGCCACATGTGGCTCGTGAGCCGCAGTTTGCCGACCACTGTTCTAAACCAACTCTCAAAAAACGAAACGTGGCTTAAAGAGGCTCCTGCAAAGGATTCACTGATTGAAGGTAAAGTTAATAATTTAAGTACCAGTGAACAAGGATTCTCTCCTGAACTGACATTCCACATACAAGCTCTTTGTCAGCCACATTATGAGATCAAAACAACCATTTAATCAGGCCTGACAAGAATTCTGCCTAAAGAATATAAAATTATCACCAAATCTTTTTGCAATATGGATTTGCATACTCTGCTGTTAATGTTGAATCTTTATAGTTCTCCTTGTCTTGATATATTAATGGTAGTAATACATTATACAATTTATAAATAGATATACACACCTTGGAGTATGTATGTAAATATATATTCATATTACATATATAATACATATACATGTTCAGAAGATTGGGTTTATTTATTTGCTGTGTTTTCTAATTGAGGTGTACAAGCAAGACTTTGGAAACTGATTTATTAAAGAATAAAAGAGGTCCATATAGCAGAACTTGGGAGAGGGGAGGGCAGTGTTGAAAAACTGGAGAGGTAAACAGGGAATATATTCTCAGCATACTATTTATCATAGTATTTATAATTATTTAATTTAGGGGTTCTTAACCCAGTATCTAGAGTTAAGTTATACCCAACAATTTATGTGTTCTGAGTATTTTGTAGAGATGATTTAAAATCTCCCCACAATTCTCTAAAGGTCTATGCCTTAGTAAATATTAAGAACTATTGACTTAGCCCTAGCCAGTTTGGTTCAGTGGATAGAGCATCAGCCTGCAGACCAAAGGGTCCCGTGTTCAATTCCAGTAAAGGGCACATGCCAGGCTTCGGTCTTGCCCCAGCTGATCAATGATTCTCTCTCACCATTGATGTGTCTATCTCTCTCTCCCTCTCTCTTCTGCTTTGAAATCAATAAAGATATGTTTGTTTGTTTTTTTAAAAAAATAAATCAATGGAAAAATATCGTCGGGTGAGGATTAGCAAACAAAAAATAACTATTGATTCAGTTAACGGTCCACCTTTTCCAACTAACCTGTGTTCCTGCTGTCAGACTCTCCTCTTTATCACCAGAGGAATGAAATAGGGCCTCAATAACAATTGAGGGAATTAGTGATTTACCCATTGCTTTTTCTTCCAGTGCTGAAAGAGACAAAGGAACCAGAAAACTGCATGCAGACAAAAGTTGATTCATGGAAAGAGAGTTTTGTAGATTTTATTAAATATTTTTTTTATTTTAGGGAGCTGCCGGCCCGTGCGCATGCGCGCGCCCTCACCCCTGTTGCGCGTGGTGTCACCTTGGGCACGAGCGGGACCGCGCACGCGCACACGGCACCATCCAGGGCCATCGAGTAGCGATGGCGGCAACGGCGAGTCCCACGGCCGGCGGGATGGACGGGAAACCCCGGACGTCCTCTAAGTCCGTCAAGTTCCTGTTTGGGGGCCTGGCCGGGATGGGAGCCACGGTGTTTGTACAGCCGCTGGACCTGGTGAAGAACCGGATGCAGCTGAGCGGACAAGGAGCCAAGACGCGGGAGTACAAGACCAGCTTCCACGCCCTCGCCAGCATCCTCAGGGCGGAAGGGGGGCTGCGGGGCGTCTACACCGGGCTGTCAGCCGGCCTCCTGCGCCAGGCCACCTACACCACCACCCGCCTCGGCATCTACACGGTGCTGTCCGAGCGCCTGACCGGGGCTGACGGCACCCCGCCCGGCTTCCTGCTGAAGGTCGTGCTGGGCATGGCGGCGGGTGCCACGGGCGCCTTTGTGGGAACCCCCGCCGACGTGGCTCTCATCCGCATGACTGCCGACGGCCGGCTCCCAGCGAACCAACGCCGTGGCTACACCAACGTGTTTAACGCCCTGAATCGAATCGCTCGGGAGGAGGGGGTCCCCGCCCTGTGGAGGGGCTGCATCCCTACCATGGCCCGGGCGGTCGTGGTCAACGCTGCCCAGCTCGCCTCTTACTTCCAGTGCAAGCAGTTCCTGCTGGACTCGGGTTACTTCACTGACAACATCTCGTTGCACTTCTGTGCCAGCATGGCCAGCAGCCTGGTCACGACGGCCGCCTCAATGCCCGTGGACATCGTCAAGACCCGGATCCAGAACATGCGAATGATAGACGGGAAGCCGGAGCACAGGAACGGCCTGGATGTGCTGGCGAAGGTGGTTCGCTACGAGGGCTTCCTCAGCCTGTGGAAGGGCTGTACGCCATACTACGCCCGCCTGGGCCCCCACACCGTCCTCACCTTCATCTTCTTGGAGCAGATGAACAAGGCCTACAAGCGTCTCTCCCTCAGGGGCTGAGGCGGGCGAGGGGCCTGGAGCCGGTGTGCTGGGCTCCCCCCTGGCCCGCTGCTCCTACAGTCAGTGTGCCCCTGGAGGGCCTGGACGGCTGCCCTGGGCCCCTCTATTTATTCTCCCTCCACAGTGTGCTTCCTTCTTCTGCGGTAAAGAGGTTTGGTCTGCCCTGCCCCTGCTCCAGCTCACCCTGCTTGTCCTCATCCTCACGACCTCTCGGACCCTGGCTGTGCCTTGGAGGAAGCTGAGAAACTCCCTGAGAATTTCCAGCCTTCTCTTGGGTGTTAGTTTCAGGACACATAGGACAGCAGAAGATTCCCCTTCTCGATAGGGAAACCAAGGCAGAGCTGAGGGACTAGAGGGAGCAGAAGCTGTCAAGATGGCCAGAGGGTCTGCAGTGAGAGGACATAATAAACTGGATTTCCTCCACTTCACCGAGGACATCATCAGTGGATTGATAACATTACCATCAAATTTGATAAGTTGTGAGGGCTGGATGAGGAAGAGATGGGACAAAGAAGCTATGCTCTGGAGAACAGAAACTGGGGTTTTTAAGAAAAACTATGAAAGAAAAAGCACCTGCTGGCTTTATGAAAACGTGATGTACATCAGTCTCATCGTGGCAGCTGACTGGGGGAGGAAAACCAAAACCCAAGCACAGTGTCTTGCTTCCCAGCCACTTGCCCAAGAATGCGACAGATACACACAAGTCGGCACAAGTCAGCTCACATAATCCCCAGGAAAGCCTCGGTTCTGGTGACTGCTTCTGTGGCCCAAAGAGGGAGGGAATAAAAAGTATGAGAAAAGAAATTTTTATTTTATTTTATTTACATAAAACGTACTGTGTGCAGACATTAGGTTGAGCCTTTTGGCGACATTAACTCATTCAATCCTTGTAATCTGGGAGGAAGTTTCTGTCCTTGTCCACTTTCTAGATGGTGAAGCTGAGGTGCAGAGAGGGTAAGTGGCTTGCACAGGGTGTATAGCTAGTAAGTGGCAGAAGCAGGGGCCAAACTCAGGCAGTCCAGCTGCAGAGTTTGTGGTTGTGAACACTGAACATGGCAAGACCTGTGTGTCGGCTCACATGGTCGGAAGGTCAGTGTCACCAGAAGGTGCTCAGCAACCTGACCTCACAGACACCTGTCATAACCTCTCTCGCTCCTTGGCAAACAAAGAACACCCTTCAAAAGGAAAGGCAGGCTTACATTCAAAGCACTTGGGTTCATTGGGCCACGAATGAGCAGGCTTGCATGGCTTGCAATCTCTCCTTCATAAGATAGCAAACTGCTCACAAAGCTGCGGTATTGTATTTAACATTTTACTGTTGGAATTCTCAAACCTATTCTAAGATATAGAGAAACATACAGTGAACTTCCACGTACCCGTCACCCAGCCCCGGTAATTATCCACACATGGCCAATCATGTTCCTTCATCCTCTCATTCACACCCCCCAGGCTATCATTTTTAAGTAAGTTTCCGATATTACGTAATTTCATAAATGGCCTTTAAAATATTGTATTATTCACTTAGAAACTGTCTGGGATTGGAGTCCAGAGACCTGAGTCTGAGTTTTGCCTCTATAATTTTCCAGTTGCGTCCTCAGGCAATAACTTCTTTGGGCCTCAAAGCTGCAACATGTGAGTGATATGATAGCTGCTTCACAACATGGTTTTGAGGATTAGATAAATCAACACACGTGAGAGTAATTTTAAACTGTAAGGTCCTGATGGAGGCTCAGCATCACTCTGTTTCCATTTTGCCCCAGCCACAAGGTCTGTGATTGCTAATTTTATGTGTCAACTGGACAAGACTGTGATGGCCAGCTGAGGTGTTGCTGTAGAGGTAGTTTTTAGATGTGATTAACATTTACAATCATTTGAGTTTCATTAAAGCAGATTACTCTCCATCATCTGGGTGAGCCCCATCCCATCAGTTGAAGGTCTTCACAGCAGACAGGTTTCCTGGAAAAAAAAGATTCTGCCTGAGTTTTCAGTCTTTGGACCTGAGACTGGCACGCCAGCTCTTACTCAAATTCCCAGGCTGCCATTCACCTACGGACTTTGGTCTTGCCAGCCCATCCATGATGTCTGGCTTCAAAATGGGATTAGCCAATGGATTGGAAGGTGAATGGAGAGAGGGGTTGGGCTATTTATTCCCATATGCTCCCCTGGTAGATGGTCCAGGCCACTGTACTTCTCTCCCAAGGTGGTCCTCTCCACCGCCCAGCATAGTACTGCATTCGCTCCTCCCCTCCCAGTGATCTCTCCCCACATTGTTCCCAGCTCTAGGCTATCCCTGGCTTTCCTCACAGGGAACCCACACTTTTGCAGATAGTCCCTGTGTTACGCTTTCCTCCATTACTCAGTTGGAGTGCTCCATCTGTTTCCTACTGGGATGCGAGTGAGGCTGGAGAAAGCAGCTGAGCACAGACTCCATAGGAGGTATGTGGATTAAATACATCCGCTAAAGATTCCACTGGGAAACTTCAAGTTCTCCTCAGTAGCACTTTCCCTGAGTCCCCAGACTGCCATGCTCCAAGCTCTCTGGCCCTGAGAAACTCAGATAACGCCTTTTCTGCATCCTCCATCTCTCCTCCGAAAGTTCCCAAGCAACTGCCCTCACTCAGGTCCTTCAGGTCTGCCTTTGACCCTTTACTGCATAATGGCAGCGGGGTGGGGGGCGGGGGGTGAGCCAGCTCCTCCCTTCCCCCACAGTATCACTGCACCCCCTCCTTCTACACCACTGGCAATGGCTTTCCTGGCCTTGCTCCTCTGGGAACCACTAGCTCCAGACTCTGAAACCAGCTTGTGTACCTTCCCTCACACACAGGCACAAACACTCCGGTTATTTAAATTGCTATCTCGCTTGCTCCTCTCCTGGGTGTGGTGATTCGCCAATTGGGTCTTTTCTGCAGCAACACATACTTCGTTTCCACCCTGAGGAATAGCCTTTCACTCCCCCCACTCGGCCCCTAGCGTGGCGCCCAGGAGCCCTGGCCCCCATCAGTACTTACAACCAAACCCCAACTATTAGCAGTGTGCGTTGGAAAGCACATGCAGTTGTCACCAGGAGCCTGATACCATATTCAAAGCTCGTCACAGCCTGGCTTCCCTTGGCAGCTTCCTTTGGAAGCTAGAAAACCTTCCTTGCTTATTTATACCAAAGATAAAATAAAAATAAGAACTTGACCTCTGTTCACCAGCCACGACAGCGTGTGTGAATTTTGCCTTCAATAATTAAAAAATCCGAATACACGACAAAGCAGCCTTTCTGCCCTGCTCTAGCGAGAAAGATGTCTCTCCATGCGACACGGATACATGTAGCCATGTTGATGTCCCCTGATTTCATTAAAATGGGAGTGTGTGTGTAGTGTGTGTGTGTGTGTGTGTGTGTGTGTGTGTAGCCATAGGAACAAACTCCAAAACCAAAGAGCACAAAAGCGGTTTGAAAGCTGAGGAAAATGGCCTCAGGGTTCAGATGGCAGCGAGCAAGTGAACAGCATCTCCCTGCCAGGCCCCTCGCTGTCGGGAACATGGTTTGGAGCCAGCTGGCCTTACTGCTGTGGGAGTTTATAACTCAGCTGGCTAATGGCCCGTGGGCATCTATAGTACTGACCCAGAGCCATCATTCAGCCGGGGCTCTGACATCCTCTCCCACTCAGACCTCCGCGAGGCGGGGGCATCTTGAAACAGGGGACGGTCCCCTCAACAAATCCACTCAGCCTTTGTGGCCAATGAGGCTTCTCGACTCAGTCGTGGCAGAAAGGAGCCTGGGACAAGGAAGAGAGTCCCTGGGAATGGGGCCCAGAGTGTTCACAGCAGGAAGCTGGGCATCCAGGCCCTACTCACCCTTCTCGCTCAGCATGATCCCTGACCTGGCCAGATCCCCACCTAGCAGCTCACTCCCCAGCTGGCCTGACCCCTCGCCAGGTCTGAACTCCCCCTCCCCCCGCTCACTCCTCACCTAGAGCAGGTGGCAGGAACCAGAGTCCCACACACTCTTTGCAGTTTGTAAGGGGAGAACGGCTTTTCTTAGTCCTTGTTTGCCTCCATTCCTTGGGGACCTCTCAGAAGCAGTAGGTGAGAAGTAAAGAAATATGCCCACATTGGCTGCTTCTGGACACCATGCATTATCCTGTTTGTTCTCTAAACCCTTCCTCTAGAACCTCCCTCAATGGCTTTCCTTCAAGTCACCATTCTCTTCAAACCCAGTCAGAAAGAGGGTGTTGAACAGCCCAAGGAAAGAAAGGCTTTTACATGGAAATGTTTGTCTTCCATCTTGTCTCTCTGGAATGAGATGCTGGGCCACGGTGAGCGTGTCTGGGAGGAGCCCCGTTCTTCCTCCCTAGCCTGTCTGCTTCTCTTAGGAAGGGCCTGAGGTTGGGGTCGGGGTCAGGGTCAGGCGGGGTGGGCACTGTTGGTTACTGGATGATGGCGGGATGATGTGTAACCTCTCTGGGTTTGCAGTTTGTCCATCGAGAGGACAGTAAGACCTAGTAATGGGTACTTATGAGGACAAGGCAGTTACGTGTCTAAGGAAACTCGGGGCAGGACTTGGAAGACATGAGGTCTCCCATCACACAGACACCATGCCACCTGGGCGAACCACGGGCAGAATTTACAATTTTTTCCAGACCAAACACAGCTCCAGCAGGGACAGGGTCACCATGCTCTGGTCTTTACGTTTTGGGGAGTGAAGCAGGTTGGATGATGGCCCCCTAACAATACCCACATCCGAATCCCCAGAACCTGTAAACATGCTGTCTTACGTGATGGGTTTTGGATGGATGGTTTAATGAAGGATGGTTTAATGAGATGGGGAGAGTATCCTGAACTAGCCAGGAGAGTCCAGTGTAATCACAGGGGTCCTGATACGGGGAGAGTCAGAAAAAGGGTCACATGACGATGGGAGCAGAGGTCAGAGTGTTGCGGGCCCAGGACACAGGAATGCAGGTGTGGGTTGCCTCTAGAATCTGGAAAAGGGAAAACAAAATGGCACAAAACACACACACACACACACACACACACACACACACACACAACAACAACAACAACAACAACAAACTAGATTCTCTTCTAGAGCCTCCAGAAGCAACACAGCCCTGCTGGCCCATTATAGACTTCCAGCACTGTAAGAGAATAAAGCTGTGTTGCTTTAAGCCACTGAATTAGTGGTAATTTGTCGCAACAGAAAGCACAGGGAGCAACTGCATAGAAGAGAATATGAAATCGTCGGAGAAGTGCTAGGCTCTAAGCTAACCTCTCTGCAGGACTGATCCTGAAGACAGGGACATGATGGAAATCTCATCAGGGAACAAGCTTTGCATCTCAGCAGCGTGCTCAGAAGGCAAGGAGGAATAAGGAGGGTTCTTTCCCCGGAGCCCAGCCACCCGTGGTGCAGAGAATTCCTTCCCCATCGACTGGGTGTGGCTTATGTCACACTTGAGTAGTCAATTCCTTTGAAGCATAGCTGTTCCCACAGCCTGATGAAGCGTGGGTACAGACTAGGTGCTCTGTGAATGAGTGTGAGATTAAAGGAGTGGGATGGGATGGGATGGGATGGGATGGGATGGATGGGATGGGTGGGATGGGATGGGATGGGATGGATGGGATGGGATGGGATGGGATGGGATGGGATGGATGGATGGGATGGGATGGGGTGGGATGGGTGGGATGGGATGGGATGGGATGGGATGGGTGGGATGGGATGGGATGGGATGGGATGGGTGGGATGGGATGGGATGGGATGGGATGGGTGGGATGGGTGGGATGGGATGGGATGGGATGGGATGGGATGGGGTGGGGTGAGA